ATACCCGACTACCCTATATCTAGTAAATACTAGAGCATTCGCCAAAGTACAGGATAGTTCTAGAAACGTGGCGTCACAGTAGTCATGTGACTTGCTGACGCAACAGTATTAAAACAAAGGCAAGTGTTTATAGTGAACACGTGGAACTGGCAAGAGAGAGAAAGTAAATATAAATCTTTATTTGTTCTCTCTCACCAGTTAATATGAATCCCCCTTTAAGCTAAAAGATAAAGAAAGTTAAAATCTAAAATGCAAATAACTTCACAATGTTAAAGCAAAATAAATTCTAAGTAAAAACAAAAATTGTTTAACAATATTTCTAACAATCTGAAAAAATAAACCTTTACTAAAAAGCTACAATTCTATAAAATATACATAACAGGAGAGAGCCCGCCTTTAAATACTAAAATACGATAATATTAAAAAATTAGGCTGCTCACGCAACCACCTTGATCTCTCAAGCCCCAGAAAATGAAAATATTGGACATCACAAGTGAAATCATAACTATCTTTACTGCAAGCGAACATACTTAATAACCAGATAGTGAATCTTAGTCCCACATACAACTGAAGTAAGGAAAAGTTAAGTTGTTTACTTGATTGAACCTCTTCATCCAAACTGAAAGAAAACAAAAAAAATCGAAAAATCTACACATTAACTAAAGGGGTAGCAAACACATGGTACTGTACTACCGAGTCATAGTTTATTGCGCCTACACATTGCTGACATTTAGATTATTAACATAACCATACTGTTTATCTGTATATAATACTTTTTAGTTTATTGTGTAGTTATAACCGTATTTTTTAAGCTACTTTCTTTTAAACTAAGAACATTTGTTTGAAGTTAAGCACAAAGTTACACAACAGCCTATCTGTGCTCTGCCCATCACGGGTATCGAAACCCGGTTTCTAGCGTTGTAAGTCCTCTGTGCCACTATGGGGCAGAACGTTTGTAGAGTTTAAAATCATAAATACGTTATTGAATCTTCTTAGACGTAATATATATATTATTCAGGATTCCATCAAATTATTTTTAAATAATGATTAAGTCCGGAATGATCAAAACTTAAATCTTCTAATGCTCCAAAAAATATTAATTACCATGGAGATAATTTTAAATTTATATTTTATCATCAATCAGATATAAATTTGAAACTGAAAATGATATTCAGAATTTCATCAGAAATACATTCGATAAACTTATTTACAGTCAAAATACCCAGAACTGTAAGATATGAATTATTATCACGAATGTCCCAGCGTTTGCTAGACGTCCTCTTTTTTAGTATATAAGCCAGATATAGATTGAAAATTGAGATAATCGAGTCAAGCGAGCAGTAGGCACCGTAAGTAAAGTGAATTATAGCGTGTGTTTATAAAAGTAGTTAAGTTTAAAGTGACTGTGGAAATTAAGCGTATTACAAAGTTTGTAACGAGAAAGAATAAACCAGTATTAATTAAGAAAGGACTTGTATCGCTGAAGTTTCTCGGAAAGAATTTTTACGGGAAATTATCAAACAAGCAGGGACGTAACAATACAAAGTTTTCTTCTTTTTTTTAAGCAAGAAGATTATAATGAAATAATGTTTAACTTTAGATTACTTTCTAGCTTAAAGTAACCTTCACATGAGAATGACGCTCATTCATGAAGTTTTTTTTTCACTTTTGATAAACTGCTCGACATAATATAATAGATCTATGCAGTTAAAGTAATATATAGAATTAAAAGTGTACACTAGATGGTAGCACCAATTCCACATTGCTGCAATTTTACTGTAAAGTAATATTCTTTCATTTCATTTATTTTTCACTGTTATTTATTTGAACGTATCTTTTCTTACTACAGTAATATTTATAAAGTAACACTTTATGACGTCATAAAAGGTAGATGTGTCAAATACCAATATGATATAAAATAGTAAATAAACTTAGATAATACTTTGAAAAATATCGTTTTCACATGATAACATTTTACGAATGATCAAGTATATTTTAATTACTAAAACGACAAATCATCGTTTTCAAAAAGCCAATTCATATACACAGCGAAAGGTGAAAACATCTGTAAAAAAGCAAACGCTTTGAAATTAACATCTATTAAACCGGTTCTTGTAGAATGACGTCAATTAAAAATGATTAAGCATTCAAAATTAACGTTTACTTGACAACGCTGAATTGTTTTAACTATATTTAAAACTAAATACCCAAGTTATGTAATTAAAGCTTTATTAAAAAATTATATGTTTTGAATACTTGTAGTATATATATATATATATATACGTAAGTTCTTGACCTAATTTTTTTTTTTGCGGAAAGCTATACAATAATGTACACTCATCACTTATCCACTGGGAGGGCTTCTGTACTTCCATATATTGTTCTACTAAAATTTAATTTACATAGCCTAGTTCATGGTTTGGTTTGAATTTCGCGCAAAGCTACGTGAGGGCTATCAGCGCCAGCAGTCCCTAATTTAACAGTGAAAGACTAGAAGGAAGGTAGCTAGTCATTACCACCCACCGCCAACTCTTGGGCTACTCTTTTACCAACGAATAGTAGGATTGACTGTCACATTATAACTAACCCACGGCTGAAAGGGCGAGCATGTTTGGTGGGATGGAGATTAGAAACCATGACCCTTAGATTGCAGTCAAGCGCCCTAACCATCTGGCCATGCCGGGCCCCTAGTTCATGGAAATATTTAATTATATTAAGTTTACATGATCAGATCACATATTCATCTTATAAAAAATGTCAAAATAACACCTTATCAGAAAAGTCTTGTATTACAATAATCCCTCCCTGTTTTATTACAAAAAATCTCTTTACAAATGATATGAGAAAAGAGTAATTCTGAAGAAGTAATACATATCTAGACAGAATTCCGGATACTTCATAATTAATTTGCTAAACTTATTACATTATTAACTTGAACAATACAGGCTTGATCTTGTTTTAATTTGAAATACTTCTCTGTGTTAGACCTGTTGCTGCATAAATACTCAACACAGTAATCCATTGACAATCACAAGGGTGTTTCAATGACTCATAAATTATGTAAAGTTCCCGTTTGTCTTACATTTGTTAACAATTATTGGTGTGATAAATTATTATGTGAATCAAAATGGATAGTTCCAGTGTAACAAACAAAAACATATTTATTAACAAAGCATTATCAAATGACTGTCTACCAGCTTGAAATATAACCATTTTATTACTCAGAACTATCTTTATAACATTTTAATTCATACATTTTCTTCTTAAATAAACTAACAAACAAACTATTATTCACATAAAATATTACATATTCTACCTGTGTAGCAACTCCTTAACACCTTACTTAATGTCATGTTATAAAAAACTGAGCTTCAATTGAATTACCTAAGTTCTTAGGACTAAGTAATTAGCCTTTTATCACATAAGGAAACATAGCATATTTTAGAACAATGATATATTAAAAAAAGAAAAACTGAGGTGTACTGTGTTTGATTAATAAGTATGAGATATCCTCTATAAGAAAACCAGTAAAATATTACTTTTGATTAGCAAGTTTCAAGTAATGGTTGGAAAAATTAACAGTTTCTAAATATATTTAAATAGCACTGCATTACTGATAATTTATATGCTCAAATAATTAAATGAAGGGAAACTGAACAAAATCATCACAATCATATCATGATTAAGAAATTCATAGTTGCACATTGAAAACAGGAATCTTCTGGCAAATCATTTATTTAATCTTTTACTCATGAAAACTTAAATCACTGTTTAGAACATACACTGTAATTTTGTAGGATAACTGCTGTTCAAATCTTATATTCAGTAGAATTGTCACAGCTGTTACTCAAAAAACAAAAAAGTGAATGAACAGAGATTTCCACCTCACAGTAAATCAGTGTCTACTCAACATTACAAACAAGAAGTCAAGCAAAATCCTTGAACAATTCAATGATTACAAAATTAAAAAAAGAAAATATAAAACTGATCTAAATATATTAGAACATATATTCAAATTAAAAATCTTTAATTATCCAGAATGGAAATAATTTTGTTTCAGCATATGTCAGAAGGAATTTTAGATTATACTACATACGAGAGTGCAACACTGATTTCAGGTTTAAATGCATTAAATCTTCAAGGTAGTTACAGTTCACACATGGTAGGCTGTCTAGAAGAAGAATGTACACAATATTTTTCTGTAAACAAATTTTCTTTCCACCACCTATTTTGAACCTTGTGATTTTGAACACATTTTTGTTTTTTCCACTTTAATACACCATGTTTATCGTAAGGATTAATTCATAATTAATATTTTGATTGAAAAAAAAAGTACATTCTTGATTTGTTTGTTAACTTTCTCTTTGGTGAAGGAAACGAAGTAAACTATGTTGTCTGCCTGTTCTATTTTTTTAAGTGGGCTACTACTGTAGCACATTTTCTACACAGAACCTACAAAAGATCAAATCGTTGTGAAAATAATATATCTGCTGTTGCACTGTCCTTGCTGACCCACCAACACTTTTCTATAAAATTGTAATCACTTCTTCAACCTTTAAAGTTTTTTCAGCATCATTTAGTAATAAGTTCTTAAAGCGCTTATATTAGTACTTTCAAGGTGAACATCACCTTAGGTGCACATAGTCGAAGCAGTCAAGTTTAACCATCCCAGGTTTGAGCTGCTGACCAGATGGAAGGCAGTCAGTCAGCAACACCTCTGTCAAAAAAGGATCTGTCTCACTCCCAGAACTGAATAATAGGTTGACTGTCACTTTTATAATATATCCAGAGCTGAAAGTGCTGGGTTTGTTAAATGGCAACATCGTCTCAAACCTTGGGCCTTCTGATTCACAGAAGAGCTAGATTTTTCTTTCAGTGGTAATTAAAACAGAGTGGAAGGAACAACTATAACAAATTATAGGATCAAAAAAGTTCTGCCACCATCTGGTTCACAGTTTCAGACCTCCTGAACCATATGTACTACCAAAGGACCATAAGTACAATGTTCCTATGTAATACAGTAAATTTACCTTGCTATTAACTAACCTGATACCTTGTTCCTATCCTAAGGTGTTTTGGATGTACTAGTAATTTTCAAGCTGTAATGAACTCCACAATATTTTAAATTAAAATTACATAAATTCAACCAGAAGACTTGCTTCTCAATTTTGAAATCATTAATAGATTCCAATATAAACAGTTAACTAACTATCAACTAGTTATTGTTCCAGAGAATCCAACCTTACTCCTCATTGTCTTTGCTCCAACTTTGTCATTTCTAATTTTCAGCTGCATCTGGAACCTATTATTAAAAAAAACTTGGCAAAATTGGATCCATATATCATTTTAATAACCAGTCAGATGTGAACACAGTTAGAGCTCTATCTTGCAATTTGTACTACCTTCGTTGTACAACAAACACTACTTTCCTTCATCCACTCCATATCTGAAAAAGCACTCAGCACAAACCCAGCAATGTTTTCTTAAGGCCCATAAAAAATCCCAGAAAGAATACAGGAAGAAACATAATCCTCAAAACATACCGATGAATCAGTTTTTATGGGTATTGGTGAACTGTTTGAAAAAATACAGTTGACTAAAATTCAAAAATGTGCTGCAAAATAACTTCACTGGTGTGATAAACCACATGATAATAAATACAGAATGAAATGGGATATGGTATGTCATTTATATCAGTGTACATATATCACTAATATTCCAGTTAGCTGCTAACCTATATACATATAACAGTTACATCATATCATTAATGAAGGCACAGCCTTCAAATACATAATGCGAACATTATCTCATAAACATTTATAGAACACTATCTGGAATAAAACACTTATAACTGTTTGAAATAACATAAAATAAAAAACATTTTAATTGAATGAAGTAAAAAAAGTTTACTAAACTTATTTAAGTAAATAAACATTTTAGTTATAGCAATTATCTGGCCGAGAATTTATTTCTAAACTAAGACTTTTATTACATGCAAGTTGAAGAGTTGAAAGAAAATACTGTCTTAAGGTCTATAAAACACAAACATTTCGATTTAGAGATAAGCTGCAGAGACAAAAGTATAAAAAGAAAGTTGTAACTCTAACAGCAGTCAGATGGCGATTATTATTCCCAATCCCAAACTCTCTAAGCTGCAAAATAGGTTTCTACGGAGAATGCATGATCATAGACAATATTAGTCATTACCGACACTTGGATATAATCAAACAATTTACACTTATAAGGATACATCACCATCATTAATTGTTTGTTTGTTTTTTATTTTCAAATGTTTGATGCTGAAACTAACAAGTTATCATACAAATACTGAGTTAAATTTTAACTCACCCTATGTTTCTTCTTCATTATCATAATGATATTATTTTTCTGAAAGTAATAGAACCCTCACTACTATTTAAGGCTATGTTTAGAGATATTTATTTTTTTACTCTTTTTCCATTTCCTCACAATGTAAATGAAAACTGGCTGTAATTTTTAGGAATAACCATTATTTTATTCCACAACGAACCTAAATTAATCAAATGAACTCAAATTATTAAAACCATTCTCTTCCACTTATATGTCACAGACATACAAATACATTCAAATATTCATGTTTCTGCCAGTTTGATACATATTATAGATCTGTAAGATCTTTTAAAATTGCTATACTTTTTCCAGTCTCACAATTTATAGCATATTAAAATAGCTAATGTTTTAAAACCACATAGTAATACTTGCAAAAGATGAGTATTATTCCAGTGAACATGTAGACTACATATATACACACTAAGTTCAAAGGTTTTTGACAGACAAAAACAAAATGCCAATCACTATGACCTTAAGAAAATGATGTACATATGACAAGTGTAGCAATCAGAAACTTTCTCAACATCTGAGGTATACAGAGGAATTTTCAAACATAAACTAAAGCTTTCTAAAATAGGAAATATATTATTCCTAAAGGATTGATATACATACAGCTAACATTAATTGGCTGAAATATTCAGAAAGGAAAGTAGATAGTGTTTCAAAAGAAAAAAAAGAAGTTAAGATTCAAGATAATTCTATTATGTGAAAGATAGTGACAAAAATCTGGTTCTGAATAACTCATTGAAACACAGGCCAGGTGGTAGCAGCTACCTCAGGCATAAGAAGAGCTGTGAGAAGTGTAGATACAAGGTTGACAGCATGGTTGTCTAAAAGTCCAATCCCACTGATGTGTTTAATTCCAACTCCCCTGGCTCCTACAATTTTTCCAGTTCTTTTATTTATACCTGAAACATTTTACATCACAAATATATTTATTTTAGATTAAGATAAATTATAAATTTAGATGTTATGTAATTAATACTTGAAACTGATGCTAAATAAAATCAAATTATTCTATCATTGTTTTAAGTGTGATTGTATTTTCAGTATATAAGTGAAAAGTTATGAAAAAAACTAGTTTTGAGTGAATCATTTTGAAACTACAGAAACAAATGTTAAAATCAACCTGCTGATATGGGATATTAGTGAGCTACAAAGAATGTGCTAAAACAACTGTATTAGTACCAACCGTAATTTGCAATGTGACAACTTGATGTGCCATGATTTGTAGAGCTGGGCAATTAGCAGAATGTGATAATCAATTAATCATTGAGCTTATTAATCAGTTACATTCAACTAATCAATTATTCACACTTAATACTTGGATGGTTGAAAAGAGATGAAAATAGTAATAGTAAGAAACACTAATTTTGATTAATTGATTATTTTTGTGAATCATGACACTAATAAATTAAGCAGAATGACCTTGAATTAATCAAAAAATAATAATGAGAAATCATAATAACAATATTTTAATTATTTGGATAGCTGGAATAATCAAAAACACTAATATTTGAAAATACTAATTTTGATTAGTTGATAATTTTCATGACATTAAGCAATTTAATTATTATATCATGTGAAATCAATCTATGTAATTAATTGCTCATAGGTAATTGATTATACTGATTAACCGAGTTAATTGTCCAGTCTCATTGACCTGATATAACAAAACAAATGTTTTTTCTTATTGATGATAACTGGTAAAATAGCTTCAACTCATATGCACACAAAAAGGGGGGGAATAAGACAATTTGTAAATGTTTTATCAAATCAGAAGCATGTGTTTTGGTTTTATATATACATATATGATTTGTGGTTTGAGGAAAAAGGGTGACTGAAAAAAAATATGCAATTTTTTTAACTACAAGATAAATTTGTTTGTTTGTAGTAAACACAAAGCTATACAATGGACCATCTGTGCTGTGCCCACTATGGATATCAGAACCCAGTTGTTGGCAATATAAGTCTGCTGAGTACAAGATAAATAACATGCAAGTTATGAGACATAATGCAATAATGTCAAACCTGAAAACTGTATAGTTGCCCCCAGAAGTGAATCCACAAATGACCCAAAGAAACCAGCAAACGTAGCTATGATGATAACTGGCCATTGTGGTGTACTGCTAAAGAGATGCTCTTCATTGTGAAAAATAAGGTGTGATACGTAATAAGATGTTCCAATTAGTGTCCCACCAAAGGCACTAAACAGAAGACCAGGTACTGACACTCCACCATTTGTTCCTGATTGTGTTGAAAAATCAAGTTATGTAGACATCTTGTGATGAACAAGAAATACTAAAAAATTATTGTACATTTTTAAGTTACTTAATAATTGCACTCATATTATCATTAAAAGCTGACAATACTGATAAGACATGATTCTGTTATTTTAGATCTCCTGTCACCAAACTTACATTTACAATACTCAGTGTTGTCTTAAAACTTTGAAAGAGTCTTATGACTCCAAACTAATTCTGAGATTGCCTTAATAAGGCTTAGTTGATTTTAACTTTACTCTAATCCTCCCCTCCTGGAAAAAACATAAAGATACTAGATATGAAAATTTTGAAATTGTTGAAGAGAAGAGAATAGGAATGGTAAGTGTTTCAACACTTTTATTTATCAAGTGTCCTAAAATATTGTATAAAAAACAAAACACATCTGAGAAATTTTATATTTTTACTTTGGCAAAAACTATACAAAATATGATTAACTAGAATAGAGGTAGGCATAGTCTACTGATGTCTTCAATCCTCTGAACTAGTAGAGGGAAGGCAGCTAGTCAACAGCACTCACTGCCAACTCTTATTATTCTAATTGAAGTGCTAGGTCATATCCAGCTGTAAATGATCACTTATACAGAAGATTTAGCTAAAACAAACTTTACCTTTGGGAACTTTTCTCAAGTTTGTAATTAATATTGGGTCAGCTCTTGAAAAGACTGGACCAAGCTCTGAAGCCCAAGTGTCACCATTTGCTCCACAAAGAGCCGAAATAACAGAAACAGTAAGCCAGGAGCATCTGAAGTCTTTATCAAAATTAATAGGTTTCTCTCCCACACCACATTCTATCATCAAAAGAAGAGCTAGTTCAGAAGCAACCCCTCCATTGCAAATTACTTGAACCCAATTTCTTTCTCCTCCTGAACTTACAAAAAAAAATCACAAAAATTGAGTATCATTATAAAAAGAATGATGGAAGGCTCTCACATAAATAAATTCTTTGTAGGTTTTAATTTGTATTACTATTATTTGTAATTTCCAAAAATATTTATGCTCTTAATTCAGCTTTATTTGCTTGATAATATACAAGTTTCTACATTAAAAAATATATCTGAACAGCTAAATTAATTTAGAACTACAATATATTGTTACTAATTTGTAAGCCTGAAAGTACAGAAGCAGTTTTAAGACTTGGCTAAATTGTTACTACTGTAATGCTAGAAGTATAAGAACGAAAATAGATGACTTTGGAGAACCAGTCTGAATGGATGATCTTGGTTTACGTAATGGGAATAGCTGAAGATAGATTAAAGGTAGACTGATTTGGTGACTGGAATTTCTTTTAAATACATTATAGGTTATTGAATAGAAATAGATACTAAAAAGAGGGTGAGGCTTTATATTTAAAGTGCGAGTTACATCCTGTTGAAGTTGAGGATATCACAGCTAACATTAAAGTGATTGAATCAATTTGGGTTTCTGTTAGTGGTTATAAACAGAGAAGTTTTAATTGGAACTTGTTACAGACCACCATATGCAACTGGTGAAATTAATGAGAAACTTTACAGTGGGAAAAGTTAGAGTCAAACTATGAGGGAAGACAGGTTTTTAGAAATTATTCAGAATGGTTTTCTTTATGTAGCCAGAGAATCTGCTAGTAACAATGCTATTTTAGATTTATTGCTAACTTCTAAAAGAAAAATGGTTCAGAGGTGGAGATTGGGGAACATCTGGGTGCAAGTGATTTAGGACTACATTTGATGGTTCATTCACTATTCAGGAATTCATAGATAGTTTTAAACATCTAACAGTTCATCAGGCGACATGCAAGTGGCATCAGATTTCTTTTTCTCTTGTTAACAGAAACTGTCTGACAATGTCTGAATAATAATCACTAAAGGTGTGGCAATACAGCAATACGATTGACACATATCGATATGATACGATTTATGTATCTTCATGAAATTTGGCAAGCTTTCAGTAAACATTATAAGTCTTTTGTAGAGAAAAAATCAGGATTTCTAATAAATTATTTTTACTAATTATCAACGATTCAATAAAGGAAGATGAGTATTGAGTACTACATGTTGTCTTCATTTCTTTTATCAAAAACATTACATGCAAGGTAATATAACAAATTAACAATAACAAAATAGATAGACAGATATTAACTTTTTTTATTTTACTTCTCTTGCCAGCTGCCATTTAGTTGATCAAACCTGAGAATTTGAAAAAAAGCACTGTAAAGTGTGAAGTACTTAAATAAGACAATGTTAGTAATATAGATAATAAATTACAGACACGACTGTCAAACTTTGTAACAAACCATTGGTAAAACTTCTGTATCGACTAGTATTATGAGATATGCACCCATAGTAATCACCCATTAAATGTCTCTCACATTGAAAATTAAATCTTTTGATTAATATAATGGTGATTACTTGAACAAAAGTTGTATCAAAACTAAAAAACATTATATGTGTAGCAGATCCTTCCGTGCACTAGAGCACCTTTTTGTACAGGGGGATATGTTTAATAGCTGCATTGCTTCAATAAAGTGTACTGTATGCCTAGTGTACAAGAGGTAAGAGAAGTAGTAAGATAGAACAAGTATGAATCACAAAATGTATGCTACTACTAATAATTTTAATCCTGAAAAACTATCAATGGTGTAATTCTAAACTCACCCTCTCTCCCAAATCATACGTTTAATTAATCAACAATGGTGTTAAAATATATATATATATATATATAACTGACATGTAAACTCTCTCTTGTAACTATTTGTTATTGTTGAAGGTCTGTATTTATTTATTAATTAAACTGTTAGTGTTACTATGTTCCGTTTAACTGTTTATTTATAATTTTGTTTATTGGGTATGTTGAATTAATGAACAATTTTATTAGCAGACTTGAAAACTTTAATGGATTGCAACTGCCTGTTGAGAGAAAAGGAAACAACATTTCAGCTTCTATACTAAGGCCTTCTTCAGGTTGAAGCAACAAAAGTTTTATGTTGGAAAAGGCTTTGACTGTTAACCTGTTTGGAATGGTGTCTGTTAAATAAAAATTTGTCTTGCTTAAATCAGCTGTAGTTCTTTTAACTGCCCACAACAGTGTGTTCTTTCGATGCAAGTTTATTGTATGTAGCTGCATGAGTGTTGCACATAGAATCAAGTATGTGTACTTAAACTAAGTGTATTTTTTCTCATATTTAGAATATAAAACCATGAATACTGTTTTATATAACATTTTTTAACTACATGTGAATGTTTTATTCCATTAATGTGGATTGTGTACAATAAAAGGGTTTTCAATCAAATATAAACTAGTAGTTATTCATTAATAAATTATATGAATAAGTACTATAAAAGGATTAAACATTTATTCAGTAATATGTTCTAAACCTTCATAGGCAAAAATCTACTCTTTACTATAGCCCCAAAGTGATCATTGTTCAATTAAGTTTGATGTTTTTACTGCATATATAGATAAGGAAAAATGGGATTCTAGTTACAAATTTAAAAAACAAACAATTTTTCAATGGATGCAATGAGAATTATCTGTTGTGTGATGGAGAAACTAAATTAATTGGAGACGCTGATCAAATGAAGAAAGTTTTTAAAAATACATTTTTGAATATTCAAGATAGTCATGCCCTTTCTTTTAAAAAGGGTAACAACAAGTAAATAACCAGGTTGGCTCACAAAGAGTATAAGGAATAAAATTAAAGAAAATAATTATAAATTGATTGATATAAATGAAAACTTAAAAGATTATAGAAGATCAAGAGGGTTGCTCAAAAAGGACATCAGGAAATCAAAAAGGGTATATAAAAAAAAAGTTGACTGAAAATGTAAAAATTAAAAAGTACAAATTTCTTTAAATACAGTAAGGGTAAAAAGAATGTTAGGATGGGAGTAGGGTTATTGAAGGATGATAAGGAAAGGCTCATTTCTGATAATAATGAGATGGCTGGTTTACTACTTTCTACTTTTTTTCTTTAATTTTTTCTGAAGAGCATTTAAATAATATTCCTCATCCTTAATGATTATTAGATGGAAACAATATGATCACATTAATCCTTAGCTTTTTAAAATGAAATTAAAGAATGATAGGTCTCCTGAGCCAAATAATATTTCCCCAAGGGTTTAGAAGGAAGTTAAGGATTGAATACGTGAGCCGCTTGTTACTATTTTTTGTAAGTCCTTGAATAGTGGGCAAGGGGCCAGAAGATTGGAAGTTGCTAATGGTACTTTTCTTTTCAAGGTAGGGATACCAGACATCCCAGTTCTTATCATTATCTTTTTTTGTACCAATCAGAAACAGTAAAAGAATAAAATCATCCCAGTTTCTCTGTACCTCAGTGTGAGGTTGATATGTACAATTTGTCATCATACACAGCTATTTTAAATTTTACTTGGAGAATCATCTGACAAAGACAAATCACACATGACGGTGTTCCCTCTCTCTCTTTTATATTTCCTTACCTAACCTGTTATTGAGCAGCCACAGCAACTGAGATATAACGACCTGCTCAGCCACAAAAAAAAAAAAATAATGAAGAAGCAATATTTTTCTTTTGAGTGAGTTCAAAACAACTTAGGCATGCTCTTTATTTTATTTATTATTTCTTAGCTATATGAGCTTTCAATAAATTTTGCTTGTCTATGATTTTAAAATGTGATGCAATAAACATCAGATTATTTAGCAAATGTAAAAAGTGTGTTATTGTAATTTACATTGTTTCAAGGCTATTATAGAGTTACCTTGTATGGTAAAAAAAAAGGCCCCAGTTTTTCAATCTGGAAATCTTGTAACCCAATTTCAAGAGAGATAAAAATTATGCCAGTAATCACAGTCCTATTAATCTTACACCAGCGAGGGGAAAAGCATTTGAAAATTTGATAAAAGATGTTTTACAAAGTTTAAAAATTTTGGAGGGTAGTCAATATGGTTTCACTAGGGGAAAAGTTTGCCTTACTAATCATTTGCTTTGATATCTGGATGAGGGTAAGGGTATGGATTTGATGTATCTGAATTTTCAGAAAGCATTTGACAAGGTTAAACATAAAAAAAATTATCTCTATAGGCATAGGAAATAAGTTAACTCACTGAATGAAAGAAAGCAGAGGGTTGTTATAAAAAATGAGTTCAGTCATACTGGATTAATGTTACAAGTGGGGTACCTCAGGACTCAGTTTTAGGACCTTTGTTCTTTTTGATTTACATCAGTGACACAGATGAAGGAATGGTCAATAAATTACTTAAACTTGCTGTTGATATTAAGGTTTTATGTATTACTGGCTGTGAGGAGAAGGATGTTGTTTTACATAATAATTTAAAGTATTTGACAAATTGGGCAAATAAATGGCAGATGGCTTTTAATTATAATAAACGTAAGGTAATAAATTTGGATTCTTATAATTTAAGTTATAAGTATACTCTCAATGGGAATAACCTTAATGGTGTTATAGAAGAAAAGTGTGTTGAATTACTGAATGAATGTGTAAAGAGTTTATCAACTATCTGTATGAATCATTGATGAGGCTTTATTTGGAGTTTTGCATATAGTATGAGGCTCCTTACCGTAGGAAGGACATTTAATTGTTGGAAAGGGTTCAAAGGAGGGCTACTAGGATGATACCTGGGTTGGAAAGGTTATTACATGAGGAGAAGTTGAAATCTCAGAAATTATTTCCTGTTGAGAATAAAATTGGAAGAGATCTGATTGAGGTTTTCAAGGTTATTGAAAATATTGATAGCATTGATGCATTACCTTTTAGGGGACATAAATATAAATTTTGGCAGGGTAAGAGTCATCTTCACCTGAGACAGTTTTATTTTTCTAACAGGGTAATTGGCCTTTAGAATGGGTTGCTTAATGTGGTAAATGCAGTAAAGTTAATAGAAGGCTTGATGAATACTTAAATGATAAGTGTTAGCTTTGAATTTTTTTTAAAGTTTAATTTAGTTTAGTGGATTAGACAGCCTAGATTGACCAACATGTTCTTTGTTATCCTTAAATTTTTTATGTTTATGACTGGAATCTTTCTGAAAGTTTAAGAAATTATTTAAACTATATAGAAGGTCAGTTAAGCTAAAGTAAGTTATTCTGAGTCTGAAATAATGAGTTTGTTAATCAGTTAGCTACTTTAGTGATGTGATTATTGAATTTGAGTTTTGAGGACAAAGAGATATGCTGTAGGTTTTGCAGAGAAAGAGAATTAGCAAATAAATGAAACTGTTGTATTAGCATTTACTGCTAATTTAGGCTTATCAGCAAATTTAGTTATGCTAACTTCTAGTTGAAGAAATAAAACTCATTTGTTATTATTAAGTGGACTGGACTTTGCATTATAATTTTTACTAAATAATCCAAAAGAACTCACCCAACAACAAAAACCATTAAAACAATATTTATTAAATCATCCTTTATTAAGTAATGATTTAGCTTATATAATTTCTGTAGAATTGACAATACCTGTAACAAATATATTTCAGATTAAAAAAAAAAGCACTCACAGTTGTATTAATAGTTAAAACTACTTTATGTCAAAACTAAGAATCAGTGTCTATTTGACTTTTTTTAATCAGGAAAAAAAAAAAAGTTGATTGTAAATGTTACTTATGTTTAAAAATATTCAAACAGAGAAACTCGTGGAATTACAATTCTCATGTACATTTATTGTTCTATGTACTTATGAATGTTAAAGACTTGTATAAAGTTTAAATATGTAAATCACATAGAACATTAAATACCTATTAATAATTTGTAATGGTTGTGAAAAGAAAAAATAAATGAATCAATAATAAAATATTTCCAACCTTCCTTAAATTCGCTGTCATATTTCTTTTTTTTGCCAAGATCGAAATCGCGTTGCCTTGGAAGATGACACAAAGAAAGCCAGCAAACAAACTATGAACTGGTAATTGCTAACTGTTAGGAGAAAGCCAACTACGAATCCTGTTGTAAAGAACAGTGTCAGTTTTATGCTCAGACAAAGCAAAATATACATTCAATATATAGTACAAACCAAATCTATGTTGTGCATATTTTTAACTTGCAAATTGCTTTTTCTCATCTATACACAAACTTAAATCTGTATTTCAAAAATAAAATACTAATTACAATCATAATAAAATTAAACTTAGTCATTTGATAAGAACCAGATGAATAACAATATTCCTCATCAATATTAAGGCTAAAAGAAAAGCTTTTACTGGAAAGAAAATTGATCATGAAATTTATATTAGTTGAATACAAAAGTTAATACATCAGAGGTGTAGGAGGCAAATTAAATGGGGGGGGGGCAAGAAATCTATTTGACTGAGCAAAGCAAGGGAATGTGCACTAAAGGCACACCCATTATGACCCACCAGATTGAAAAGTGGGGGGTAAGCCTCCCATTTCTTACACTACTGCATTTGATAAATTATACCAAAATCTATGAAACCTATAATGTGTACAACTACACAGGCATCAATATGAAGAAAATTTAGTTCAAAATAATTTAAAAAATAGACTAGCACTTTATTTCATAAGTTTTGTATTACTAAAAGCAAAACCAAACCAAACGTTTTTATACATTTTACACCTAAGACCTCACTAATATCCACATAACCTAGTAATATAAATCTATTAAAATAAAATCTTAAAATAAACAGCAAAAATATGTGATTGATGCCATCACATCAAGAAAATTTGAAAGCATGTCCATATACATTACACATACTAAAAATTTTAGAAATAAAATACATATATATTGATTATACGCTTTTTCATGCCTTACATGGTACGTTCCCTGTAGTTCAGTGGTAAGCTTTAATGCTACAATTTGGGGTTTGATTCCTGTGATAGACAGAGCACAAGCAATCTACTCTGTAGCTTCACAGACAAACAAACAATCACTTGTATGGTATTTTAGAGTGTCATTTTCTCTTCCAGTTTCACTTATATAAAATCAAAATTTTTAATTTTGTTTTATAGCACCATACTTGATGTATTGATGCTTTATATTAGTACATTTACAGTATCTTTTAACTTGATTCAAAATTGCAGTCTTTTATTTGTTCATCAGTGTAACAGCCTTGTTCTTTAAAAAAAGACCAAAAACTAGCTGTTGTTGAAATGGCCAGACTAACTTTTGATTAATTTTTAACCCTCTTCCATAAACCAAAATGTCATCTAATCACTAATTCACCATGGCAATGTTAATAGCTATTCAATGATGCCACTTCAGAAAAAAAAAAAAAACTTTCGTGCAATGTCTACAACTTTGCTTTGTTTTCTTATAAACAAAGATTGTAAGTATTTCAACTAGACCTTAAGTCTGTCTGTATTTGTTCACATCCAACATTCAGATATATTCAGTATCGTAATTGCTCAGACATTATAGACAGTCCTTTGGTTTTTTATGTCAACAGTGCATATGTCACTGTCGGTATGCAGTTCAGTGAACAGTACAGTGCCCAGTTTAACAGAATAGAGACTGTTAAAAACTGTTAACATCTCATATTGAAAGAGTACATCCAAGAAAATTTCAGTTTTACTCATGACATAAAGAAGTCAGTAAGATCAAACTTATTCATATTCGTAATTATTTAACAATCAAAAAATAAATTCCAACATATTTTTTTATTATACAAATACAATAAATCAAAGTATTTTAACAATGTTTAGTATTATTCATCCTAAATCAAACACTAACAGTGAAATAATGAAAATATTTTACAATATAAATCATTTATACCAGATTATATACATACATACAAAAACATATCAAAACATGTATCAACCACGATTAACAGACAGTACAATATTTTAGGTAAAGTATGTCCTCATGAATGTATCAAACATTAATAAATGTGTATGGAGTAATATGAAAAAAGAGAGTATCTACAGATCAGCATGTACAAGATCAGTCTATCAGACAAAAGTTAAAATTCATCATGGCCCATTAATCTGGAAAAATACAGAGTATGACCTATGAAGAAATAAAAGGGTAAAATCTGTTTCATACATTTTAAATTTTCTTTAAATAAGGGTTAACCATAAAACCTTCTGAACTGAATTTCTTAATGTAAGCCTCACCTGAAGCAGCACCTGACCAAGAAACACTCCTTCCTTTCAGACCCCATGCAGCAACAACAAATGGGATTGACACAGCCCATAACAACCTAACTGGGGAGGGAAGTTCTTCTTCATAAGCTAAAATGAAAATCCAAAAGTGTGATATTATTTTTCAATAAGTGAGGAAATGAATGGTTTAGATGAAAATGGAAGTATGTCATAATAAATGAGATAATAAATATATATTTTCAAACCACAGAAGAATATGATTACAATGCAGAAGAAATGGACATGTAGAAGATGGGGTATGTCGCTGTTTATAGGTTACCATTTACTTCAGTGGAATTCTTAGTTTCAAATACAATCATTTGCTCTTGGATGAACATAAAACTACAATAATACCAAAGGAGGTATGCAAGTAAAGGAAACATGATCTGGAAAAAAGAAGAGCAGTACATTAAAGGCATGCAGGTTTTTGGGTTCCAGAAAACTTATTCAAAATTCTGAAAACGCATGAGAGACATGGGTTATTGTTGAAGTATGATAAAGACAATAAGAATATAAACTATGGTTTAATGTACACCTAGATGTACCAAATGAAAATCCACCAAGGGAAGTAGCAATTCTAACTGACAGAAATACAATAAATAGTAAACCAGAGAAACCAGCAACACTGCAAAAGATTAAGGAAGAAAAAAATTTAAGAAACATCAAGTAGTGTGCTCGATCAAGCAAACTGAGAGCACAGCTTAAGTATCAATAACATTGTAGAATAATGCAATAGTTAAAGTATCTTTTGTTCTGTAGATAAAATTCCTCTTTAATCTATGTCTTCTTACAAAGGTAGAAATGCATAAAAACGAAAGGAAAACACTAAAGAATTAAATAAACTACAAAGAAAACAACATAAATTATGAATTTTATATGTAACACATCTTAGACTTCTCTACAGCAAAAGGGAAATAAAACTAAAAGCTGAAAAAATTTCTAGAGTACATGTAGTCAGACTTTGCAACATGATGCAAGCATGAAGAATCAAAAATACATGGAATAGTTTACACAACTATTAATACAATATATTTTACAATAAATGTTGCAAGAGACAAATCCAAATGTCTTAAGATGATCAGGTATGACCTGGCACTCACATTGCAAAATACTACCAGAAGAAAAATACATTTTGTTTATGGATTGGCTTTGCACATGTTTGTTTTAAAGTTAAGTGGATGGGACAGCCTCGATAGAACAAGAAGCCCGTTGTTCTCCTTAACTGTTATATTAACCAACTTGTAAATCTGGGAGTCAATAAGAAAATTCCCTAAACAGTCCAATCATATGAGCAAATATACTAAAGGAGAAGACTGGTAAATATAAAGGAAGAGAATTGACACAAATGCTGTCCCAAAAATACCTGAATGATGATTAAGTTCTAACACTTAAACTAATCAATAAGCAAGTTGTCTCCTAATTTTTTTAAATTAGATACAGACATTCCTATAGGTTAAAGGAAAGCAGTAAATCTACTTGTTTTGATAAAGCAGGAACTGAAAACTGTACCAAAAACACATAGAAGGTTAAATAAAAATAGATACAGTTACACACCACTTAAAATATTGTACAAATTAGTACACTCTAGAAAATGGTATTACAAGATAGTGATTTTATGACTTATTCTATTTGAGAAAAAAAAATTCATTTTATTTATATTATATCCACCATAAAGCTCTTAAACAGAAGCTAGCACTGAGAAACTAAGATGTTTTGTTACATATTTGTGTTTATTATGAAGTACCTCTTACTAATAGCTGACCAGTAGTTTTTCTTGTCTAGTCCCAAGAAAGAAGGGTAATTATGGTTCACTGGTACTCCATGTACTTGTTGATAAAACTTAACAATAGAATGAAAGGTGGCCCAATGGAAGTTAAAATCTAACAATTTACTTTTTCTCAAGAGGTAATCATGTTGAAAATTCAGGATAATTTCTGTGTTACAGTGTCAAAAATTTAAGTGTGAAAACATAAATAAAAAATTTCACTGGTTTGTAAAAATAAAAATTGAGTTAGAGTTACAAGTTTATCAAAATAAGGGAAAATATTTGGAAATTCAGAGTTTTTCTGAAAATTAGCAAGTTTTCAAGCATGAAAAACTTTACGAGGAAATATTTATCTACTGACCTGCAGTGACAAAATAAGAAGGTTTGTCAAATAGATCTCTGTACACTTTATACATAACTCATTAAAGAAAAATTAGTTTCCAAAAAGTTGGATTACTAAATTTTTATTGTTTTCTTTGAAGATGTATAAAGTAATATTGAAAATTAAAATAAAATAATTAACTAAAACCCACATAATGCTACTATAACTTGACAAAGGTTTGTTTGTTCTCTAATTCCTCCTAGCATTTTGCATTTAGACCTGTCAAATATGGTTTAATCAACTACGAATGATTCAGGATGTGTCAAGAAGAGGTTAGATTTCTTTTAAAATGCATAACTTTTATAACTCCAGTGCTAGCTAAATATAAATTAGTCAGTGGAGGTAGCCACTAGGTGTACTGATGGGATTTCTCCAGTTTCCTCTTTCATTACATGGGATATATAAGCAGTCTATGTACTTTCCATCATTACTGGCATATTTAGGACAAAAACAGGAACAGTTCTTATATTCATAACTGGTAAAACAATTCTACATAAAACATAAATTCTACAATTGCATTTTGTTTTCAAATCCCATCAACCATTTCAGGGATTTCTTTTTCACACGTTGTTTACGCATACTTTAAAGATACGCACATTTATATTAAGGGATATGTTTTTAAGTCAAATATTGTTTACTAGCTGGAGTACCCATCCATTGGATTGGTGAAATAAAAATTTGGTTGTAAGAAAGGATAGGAAATTGTGCTTCTATTTTTTTTTTTTTTATATAATAAACATTAAAAGTGCAATAAAAATACATAAAGGTACCAATACT